GAATATATAGTTCTTTTCCATTCAAATGTAATTCTGTTTCTCAAAAATTTTCATTTAAATAATTAATTATGTAATTTGATTTCACGTTAGAAAAAGACAAAATTTAGAACAAAACAATATGAGAGGATGAAAATGAAGGATACACTTGACAATATCACGATATTTTACAAATTATTTAATATAATTAATTTTAGAAATAAATTACTCAAAAACTTTTCTCTTTAAATTAGAATTTGCAATTTGAAAGAAGGATTGTATATTGTTTTTACTCTTTATTCTTTTACCGTTTACCAAATTATATTTTTTTTTTTTTATGAATATGCAGATATTGAGGAAAGAAATAATTAAAAATTTTAATCAATTTCTTCGATTTTCTTCGGAATCTATATTTAATTTCTAGATAATGTATATTTAATTCTAAGATAATGTAAGAGTTAATTTATACATATTGCGCTGAATAGCGAATTTAATATTATTACATAAGAATAATATTGCGTGATACCAATTTACTGACAAACTACGCAGTTGACACAAGTTACGAAGCAAAACGAGCCGTTGAAAAGCCAAATATTATCAATTATAATTAAAAACAATAAAGTAAAATCGAAACGCGGAAAATCAATTTTTAAGATAAAATACTTTAAATCGAAATATATATCTTATATCTCGTTCTTAGATACGATGAAAAAGAGATTAAAAACGAGAGGCCTGATCTATCACGAAACCGTAAATTTTTCCACTTATGGAAAAATTCTTAATAAATTCCAACGATAAACATTGGATATTTATCAAAGAATAATACTATCTATCTCCAACCGTAAAAATTGAAAGAAAAAAAAAAAAGAAAATTAAATCAGAAGAAAAAAAATTAACAAAGAAGAATTCCACATTCCCTGTATGAAAATCAAAAACCAAAAAAAACCATAAAAACAATTAATCCTGCTGATCGAATTTTTATTCCCCCCAAACTTTATTTTTCCAACAAACAAAATTTTATATAAATATAATAACTCAAAATAATTCATAAATAATAAAAAAAAAAAGAAAAAACAAAAAGGAGCAAAGAATTCAAAACTGTTAGAATTAAAAAAAAAAGAAAAGAAAAGGGAGGGAAAGAATTTCTGACTTACGGTGTCGTCTGGTCGCAATAAAAAGAAGATGCCTCGCCAACATATTGGGATGCAACTGTGTAATTCCCCCGCCGACTGTCAAATCTAGAATACCACGAGCTCCTCTCACGATCGAATCTCTCTCACAGGCTATCGAAGCCGGCGACCGCCTGTCTAGCGACAAGGTTTCCTCTTCGCAGCTAGACAGATAACCGCGTTATCATCGCCACACGCTAAAAACGCCAATTTCTTCCCCCCTCGCGGCTCACCGCCAACCGACTCACGCGTGAAGATCTCCAACAACTTCCTGAATAGCTTCGTCCCTCCTCGAACAACGTATATCTACCCAATATATCTAATTCCGTCCATTGATAAACCGTTTCGATCTCTACCGTGGCCAGATGCCATGCGACTAGATTACTTCTTATTATACCCGCCACGAATTTACGCGATTAAGTGAAAATTCGATCGATGATCACAGTCGGTCTTCGTTAGGGAGAGGGGTCGAAAAGATTGGCGAAAAATTGCGTCACCTCGAAATACAAATATCGTAGATACGTACGATAAAACTTGGATGACTTGGAGGGATGGTTGGCGGAGGGGGTGGTTGAGAAGAAGAATGGGGGTGGTGGGAAAAAATCGGTGCGGGACGTGTACGAGGCTGAGAAAGAACGAAGCTAACTGAGGGCTGCGGCATCCGTTCGAAAGTATTTGAATCGAAACCGCGGGAAGGGAGGGAATTTTGTTTATCTGGATCTGGAATTATCGGGCGGGATAAACATCGCGTCTGATGCAACTCGGTTAGTTATTGAGCCAGCGGCTAATGATGCTGATAAGGGCTAACAAAGTGAGGCTTCATTGGGGGCTCCCTGCTGGACTTTTCCAGCTTATCGACGTCTTCGTCGCTCCCGGCCGCTCGCTTTATTGCACGCCTCGGTTCAATACCGACCAAGATTTCCTATTTACTTCCCTCTTCTCGGTTTCTTCATAATTTCTTTGTCGGCGGCGGACAAATTGATAAGGATTGGTTTTTTTTTTCAGATTAAGCTTAGGGAGGGGGGCGATGTAAATTTACCTGGTCATTGAACGATCGTAGGTAGAGGGTAATTTTTAACTGTTGTTCTCGGTGTTGGTTTTAGTAATATCTTTTTAGTAATTTAAGTGATATTTTTGCGGAAAGGAAATTTCCTACGAAATCTAATTACGGAGAAAAAATTTTTAGGTATTTATTATATATAGGTTATTCTATTTTTGATTTTGATAATATTTTGTGATGAAATTGTGGAGTACAAATATAACAATCTATCTAATTGCAGTTGAAAATAATATCCGGACTAAATTTGAGAATTAAAAATTCCTCGACTCTTGCTATCGATTCAATCAAATTCTTCCACTGTTAAAATATTTTTTTTATAGCTCGAGGAAAAACACGCAGAAATATCGATATTCCCCGTTTGTCGTATCTTGTTTAATTTTTCTCGTCGCAAATCGACGAAGCTAAAAAGCTTCTCCTCTCTCGGAAAATTAGAGGAATTTATTCGGAGCGATAAAAAAACGGTTTGAAAATCGGGATGGAAAAAAAGCATTCGCTCGTCTTGCGAATCGAGATCGAGAAAGAGAGGAATCCGCGCGCCGATAAAACGCTGGTAAATATTTTTCATTGGAGTGACAGGGTGTAATCGGCCTCTCGGTCGAAGAAAAATGGCAAATCCATAGCTCGTTAAAGACGGAGGAACTGATGGTAACGCGTTATCTATTAACCTTGCGAAAGGCATGCGCATTCACATTTGCAAGAAGAATGGCCGGCAGGCCACTTATCGACGAAACTATTGAACTCTGAAATATTCCGTAGGCCGTAAAACGCGACAACAGCCGATTGAATTTCGCGTTTATCGTTTCGCAACGTTACCGTTTAGGGGCAGCTGCCGGCAGACCAAGCCACCGATACAAGGGAAACGTGACTTTTCTATCGTGCGTACGTATACGTATATACGTATATTGACACGGAAAAACATTGCTCGATCTCGTTATCGTTATGGCCGTACAACGGATCGTTTGCCCTCATTAATTTCCAACTAATGACAACCCCTCCCGTTATAACGGACGGATCCAAGTAACACGTGAGCGAGCGGCGTACGATAACTTGGACGTCGAGTACTGTTTTTATTCTTTCGTTTCGTTCTTTTATTCATCCTCGGTCCTTGATCAGATCTCCCGCCGATCGATCTATTTATTGCTTATGACGCCCTCGCCTCGTTAATTATCTAACGCGCGCATATTTACGTAATCGTCTGTATATCTGTATATGCTCGGAAGAGAATCGAGGATTCTCGAGAAGATTTTCCGAAGAGTGGAGAAAGTTTCTTTTTTTTTTTTTTTAGAAAAAAAAGGGTATATAATTTTTTATGGATTTTGAATCGAACGTACGTGGAAAGAATTTGAATTAATTTGAAACTATCGACGTTCCATCGTATTTTTAAAAAAATAAGAAACCGCTGTTATTTTTATCGTAACTGCTCTCGATATCCATTATAGTTATAAGTACGTATACACCATCACAAGTGAAAAAAAAAAAGAAAAAAGAAACTCTCGAACTAACTTCTCACGACGGGATTCCAAAGATAAAATAACCGAGGATATGTATGCTTTTTCGCATAATCGACGAGGATAGACGAAAAGATAAGAATTATCATAGGCGTGGCGAGTGACGAGGAATTTATCTCAACGATCACCAAATTTCGGTATCGTTCCCAGAATATTTAAGCACCCTCGCGGGTTCGATGTCGGTGGGTCTGGGCCTAGGGCTTTTGCAAACCCTCGCAATGGGAATCGAGATGGTCACGTTCATGTCGAAGTTCACGTTCCCATCGAGGGGAGGTTCGGGGCTGGAGATCGTTTCGGGATAATTGATCCTCTCCTTCAACAACTCCTCTTGCAACTCCTCGGAGGGGGTTCTGCAGATCTTGGACGATTTCTCGTTCCCGTTCCCGGAAAACTTCTTGATAAACATTATCGGGCTGTTCGCCATCCTGTAACTCTCGCTCCGTTTCACCTTCCTCTCCACCCTCGAATCGTTCCCACCTCGAAACGTGTCCAACCTCTTCGAGGCTTGCCCGTTATCCACGCACGCCACCCCCCCGAAATCCGAGTACTCGATCGTCCAACGATCGTCCCTCTCCCTCGACGACCACCCGAACTCCTCGTCGACGGAGCCCCGTTCCACCGATTTCTCCCCGCCGTTCCGCGGCGGATCGTTCCCGTTCCTCGCCCGATTCTCCCCCACCCCCTCCCCCCCAACCCCTCCCAATCTCTTTCTCGAAAAATTGGGCGTGTCCAGGTCGGACACCAACAACCTTCTGCTCGACTTCGGGTCGGTGGCCGAGGCGTCGCCCTGCCTCGGATTTTTCGGGCGGGGCGCCGATTTCTCGGGATCGAGCCGCGAATTCGAGCCGCATCCGTTCGCGACTCTCTCCTTCTGGGAGGGGAAGGCGAGAACGTCCCGAGGAAGGGAATCGTCGGGCGGACGATTCTCGTCTCGGTCGATCGCGGACCTCCCCTCCCCCTCCTCCTCCTCCTCCTCCTCCTCCTCCTCCTTCTTCTCTTCCTCCTCCTCCTTCTCCCCCCCTCTCTCGGTGCGATCGCAAGGTCTCGCCTTATTTTTATTGGGATCTATTGCCAGGACGTTGTCGGCGGGCGGCAACGTTGTTGTTCGACAACCGCTCCTGGCCGAAAGCAACGGGCTCCCGTGATCGGCGATCGTGATCAGCGACGGCTGAGGCGGGCTCGACTTGTCGTTAACACGTGGATTCGTCGCGGGTGCATCTAATCTAGCGGCAGTGCAGCCGGTGCAGTGACGATCGTCAGTGCTCGTGCCAGAAGCCTTCGTCTTACCTTCGTCCTCCTGCACGTTGACGTATGCCCCGCGCACTTGACGGTGGGCCGTGGTGGGGCTCGTTGGGCCGACCACGGTCGTCGGTGTTCTCACGTAATCCGGGCTGGCGGCCCGGTCCGGACTTCTCGCCGCCCTGATGATCACCTTGCCTAATTGGGGCGACGTGGGCGGCGTCGATTTGCTCGTCGCGCCGTCCACCGTGTCGTTGCTCCTCGTCACCGCTCGAACGTTGGGGGTCGCGCGGTGCAGCAGGGGGGATGGGCTCGGTGACACGCCCTCTCTCACGAACGGACCTGCATTTTCCACGGGTAAACGTTTTTTTCTTTTTTTTAATGGACCTCGAAAACGCTTATGTAATAGATATTCTATTCTTTCATTCGGAGGGATATTCTTTTTCTTCTTTTTCTTCTTGTTTTTAAGAAAAATTTTGTACGCGAATAACTTATTGCAAGTATCTTTACACTTTTCTATTAAAAAGTTTCATCATAAATCTCGTATTTAAAAAGTTATCGCTCGTTATCATCGTTATGGTTACATATTATTGCGTTGCGCGGCGTAAAAATATTAATTTTAATGTTTTTATTAATTAATGTTCGTCGAAGAGTTATAAATACGAATTACGAATAAAAGTGACTTTCATTGGAACCAGTCATCTCGCGATTGAAGAAGATTCGTTCGATTTTCTCCAAATTGCGAAAAGGAATATCCTAAGAAGGGAGGATACGATGCTCGGAGAGGATCACCACCGATGATATATCGGCCTCCAACGAAACGCACCTGGATTAAACGTAGTGTGCGCCCCCTTCCTCCTCTTCAAGCTGTCGGACGAGTAAACAACCTTGCCTTCCGAGTCCAACGTGACCCTGGCGCCCTGCCTCTTCCTCTCCAAGGACGAGTCCGGCTTCTTCGGCAATTCGCTCAGGCTCACGTATTCCGCGTCCTTCTTGAATATGTCCGAGTTGGCATAGGTGACGGGGGAACGGGCGGGCGTCGGGCAGGAAGCCGAATCCTGCCGCTTGTCGTTGTTGTTTCTCACGTCGGCTATGGTTACATAGTCGCCGGAGTCTCCTCCCCCCTGATGATGATCCTGCACGCCGCCCTTCAACACGTGCTTTCTCCCCGGAAGCACGCCACGAAGCTTGCCCAGAACGCCGCTCAACGGGCTGATCTTGGTCGGCTGGCCAACGATAGTCGCCGCCTTCTCGCTCGTGGGCGAGGGCAGCACCTGGATCGTCGCGTACAGGTTCTTGTCCTGGCCGTTGATCACCTCCATCTTCGAGGTGCCGACCGTTGCCGACATCAGCACCGATCCGCCCGCTTGAAGATCGCCCTTCCTCCCCTCCCCCTTTTTACTCCCCTGCTCCGTGTCCCTCGCGTGCTGCTGCTCGTCGTCCGAGCCGGGAGGGGTGATCACGCACATGGACGGTATACGGCTCGTGTTGATCGCTGTCTTCGAACGGATCCTCTCGATCCTCTCGCACCCCTCGAGATCGCTCGACTCGGAGTACTCGAATTCCGAGCACGATCTTCCCGTGCAGGCAGGGCTCGAGGCCGATTCCACCGGCGATGACGAGGTGTTGTGGCCGCTGTCCGGTGACTCGCCGCCATTTTGATTCGGCCCGTGAACCTGTCGATCGACATCTCTTATTAGCCCTTCCCGAATTTCACAATTTTCCAACAAAAATAGAGAGGGGAAGATTCGATCGAGGCTATGGTTAATATGGAAAATGGAAATCGGTTTAAGAAACGGCTCGATAGCCTTCTAAAGGGTATACAATTTATCGGAAACAAGAATTTTCTCCATACCATAGCAACAACGGTAAGGCTAGATTTTCTTTCAGGCGGGGGTGGCGCCATTAAAGCTGTACAGACTGTGCCCGCGGAGCTGGTGGTCGTCGACGTGGACCCCCTTCCGAACAGTTCGTACTCGTTTTCGATGATGGGTGAGGTAGGATCGGAGCTGACGTCGTTCGACTTCATCAATGGACACTGGGGGACGGGATCCTCTTCCCTCAGCGTTTTCAACCCGGAGTCCACGTGGAACGAGGTGTAATAACCCTCCGTGTCGCAGGAATACACGGACGATGTCTCGCCGTCGTCCGAGAACGGTACCACGGCTATATCCTGTATAATGTCCGGGGTCAGCGTGCCCTCCGAAGTCACGGAGGACGAGGTCGACGTGTCCCGTCCTTTGAAACGCCTCACGTGGCTCAATGACGTCGACGAAGTTCCGATCGAAGCTGTCGTCGTCGATCTGCGGGACAAAACGCTTCGTTAAAGCGGATAGTAAAACTTAAGCACGTGCGTGAAGAGGACACGTGAAGCGATACCACTTTCGTGATAAAGAAATGTTATTTGATTCGATGATACTTGCTTCCTCTTAAGGATTTCACAGAGTAAATATAATTGATCCTATCTTCGTTTATCCTACTATTTATCTATCTAAAGAAAGCAATATGTGTAACGACACTTGAGAAATAATTAATCGCAATATATTATATATGTTATAGCAAAATATTGAATTTTCAAAATTCTAAGAAAAAGAGACGTTACGAAACTTGTTTTAAAATGAACAACATTCGTAAAAAAAAAACAACTGTTTCGTTCTTGCTTCGTCGTATAATTATTAACTATGTTTTTCTTCGTTTAATATTTTTCTTCTTTCCCTTTCTAATTAAAGAAAATGCCTGCCGTTAAAATTGTCAAAGCGAGAGTCGAGCCTCGAGTCGTACCTCGGCTGGTGAGTGGTGGTGGTCGTCTCGCTTCCGATACTCGCCCTTCCGCTTTCGGAGGACGCACTCCAGTTTCCAGAACTGGAATGAGGCGGCTCGTCCCTGCTTCCTCCCTTTCGTCTTTCCCTCCTTTGGGCCGCGCTTTCGCGCAATTTCACGCTCGGTTGTCTCTCGCCGCTCGGCACGGATACAGGTATGCTCGAGGTGCTCTTCCCGCTCGAGCTCGACGAGCTCGGCTTCCTTTCGTGAGACTTGTCCTTCCTGCGCCTGCCCATTTTTTATTCGTTACGTAAATATTCGTTTCCTCCATCATCTCGCCGACTGATCCTTTCGCTCTCACCTCTCTGTCCCCGACCCCTCCTGTTGCTGCTCCTGCTGCTGCTGCTGTTGCTGCTGTTGTTGCTGCTGCTGTTGCTGGCTCGATTTCGGGCTGATCAGTTTCAATCTGGACATACCCCACGCCTTCAACGTGTTGAAGTGAGACTTCTTTTCCGCGGGCGAGTCCTTCTTCGACGAACCCAATATGTCCGTGCTCGCTGATCGATGAGCTCTCGATCCCATGTTCGATATCGTCTCCTCCGCCTCCTCTCCGGTCGTTTCTCTGGAAAAAGGGAGAAAGAAAGATAGGATGATGGATTTTTAATTAACTAGAAATACTAATGGGGCGATACGATTATTTCAACATCATATCGTATGGTTAATCTCTTCATCTCTCCATAAGGATAGAAGGTATCGTTATCGATGCTTTCAAAGCGATGATTCCGTCGAGTAAAGTAAAATTCAAATTTTTTATTTTCACTTTTATTTATATATAAAGATTTTGCGAACGGTTCTTCGATAAATCTTCATTTATTACGGAATAGTTTTAAATTAGGAAACGATTATTTGAACATCGTATGGTTAATCTCTTCATCTCTCCATAAGGGGGATCGAAGGTATCGTTGTCGATGCTTTCAAAGCGATGATTCCGTCGAGTAAAGTAAAATTCGAATTTTTTATTTTCACTTTTATCTATCTTACTTTATATATAAAGATTTTGCGTTCTTCGATAAATCTTCATTTATTACGGAATAGTTTTAAATTAGGAAAAAGCTAAGCATTGCATCGATATTGTTAAAGTATTGTTACGAAGATAAATAAATATTCAGGATATATATTATCGTCTATAATTGTTTTAATCTATAAATCTCGATCGATTTTTTACACACCAAGTTTGTTAATACTTGGTTTGCTAATAATTCTGATAATAATTCTTAAAATCGCGTTACAGAGACGTAACTCACCCTCCTATAGCCTGTCGAATTTCTTTCTGATCGGTGCCAGCGATCGTGTTTCGTCTTTTTCCTCTGGGCCTTCGAGGCCGCGATCGCCTCTTCACCGCTGTCTCTTGGCTCTCCGGACCGGACAGCAGAGATCTTCTCCTCGTCGACATTCTCTCGAATCCTCTTCCGCTTACGTCCACCGCCACGATTTCCGCCGGGAATCTGCCACGAGAGGAAGCACGTCAGTATCGGCAACGAAAGTAGGGGAAAGATTTAAGATTCGAGATCGAATTTAAAATTAAGAATAATTGAAACTCAGAAAATAAATAATCTATTCTTCGCGGAATGGAAGATTCGAATTCGTGAAATTAAGAAAAATTTAAACTTTGAAAGCAAATCTATTTCCTAGAATTCTCCCATAAGTCAAATTGAAAATTTAAAGGATACAAAACAAATCCATTCCCTCGTTTCCTAAAAACTGTCTAAAACAAAAGATTAGTTAAAAATCTCGAATAAAGTTAATTACTCAATTAATTATTAAAATGCTTATAAATATAACTGATCCGCTTTATATTTTGAACAATAAATTATCCAAATGACTTCGACTATTAAATTTTGCCTTCAAATCTTAAATTTTCCATAATTCTAGCGAAACTTTTAAAAACTGCAGAGTTAAACTCGATCTAGAAAAATAAAAGAAATAGAGGCGAAATCTCATCGAATCATCGATATCCCTTATCCCTTCAACAACGGGAAAAAAGAAGATCTCCCTTACTTGAGAGCGATGGCTTGGACCTGTTCCTCGGGGCTGGGAAGCTTGTGATCGACGGCGTCGTCGGTCGTCGTATCTCCCAGGATCCTGGACATGCAATCGGGCGGCACTGTAACGTCCCCGAGCGCCTCCGTGGACGTCCATCTTCGAAGATCCTCGATAGCGGCCGGCTGCAACGACACGAATCACGCGTGAGCACTCGAAAAAACACCCCCACCCGATTCCAAAGGCCAAAGGACTTTGCGAATCTCGTGTTCTTTCCCCGCGTTATTGGAAGAAGCGGGGTCGGCCGTCATCGCATCTCATCCTCCTCTTTCCTCCTTCCTCGGGAGGAAACTTGACGCTGCGGCGAAAGAAAAGCGAGCGACGTTGTTTTACGCGCTGGGGAGCCGCGTGGGCACATGCATTGTCGGATGTCACCTCGTGACCAACCGGCTTTCACGCACGGGATACGGAACGGATTGTGTTTCAGGCAGGGCCCTTTTCTAACTGACTAAGAGATGCGCCAACAGAGAAGCTCGTTTCAAGCCAGGTGAAAATGGATCGACCGATTTTTTTCCCCTCCTCGCGAACCGGCTCCGCGGCTTACCACCGAAACCCTCATTTCAACCCTCTTCGATGCTGTATAACTTCGATGTATCGGCTTTCGAAAAAATTAGGTTAGGCTATGATACTGTTGTCACACGTCGAGTTGGCGAATTTTTCCCACCATTCGTGGTGGATGGGCTAGGTGTGATTATACGTGAATATTCATTTTAAATCAGAGTCTACAGTTAACAATTCGCTTTGGCAATTTTAGTGTTAATTAGTAATTAATCGTTTTGTTCGTTGTAAGTTATAAACGTAGTATTATGGAGATAGAAATCGATATTAATTTTAAATCAAAGTCTACAGTTAATTTTCTAACCGACAATTCTAGTGTTAATTAATCGCTTTGTTGATGTAATTACGTTTAATTATTATCTGGAATAGAAATTAATATTAATTTTAACCCAAAGTTTAATTCAACGATTCACTCGATTTGGCGATCCCAGTGTTGATAAGAATCGAATGAAATGTACTTTTAGGCGAGAATTATGCGATCACGCTCGTTTCTTAAAAAAAAAAAAAAAAAGAAAAATCGCAAGCAATCTGGAAAAGAGCTAGACGTGATCCAGCTACGTCAGCCTCGAGTCACTCCTCGATCCATTCCACTCTATTAACAGGTAGCCCGAAGGAACGAGAGAAAAACGTCCTGGTTATCGCGGTAGCGATGGGTTTCGAATCACTTCGAATCCGTATTTGTTCACATACAACGGGTATTTGTATATAAAACGAGAAATTCGAGTCGCCTCGATCGAAACTTCTTAAATCTCGACAAAATTGATCGATACTCGTTCTAAGAATTTTCTTTTAATCGTTACACAATCGATACATAGGGTTAGAAATTTGGAATCGTTTCGACTCGTGCCGTCACTACTTGCCAGAGAACAACCTGCTGCGCAGCCTTTCCTCGAAGGACGCGTGTGCATCGATAAATCTTAGCGTGTGGCTAGAAACGAGCCGGGGAGGTTGATAAGTGAGGTTAGAATAGAGGTCGTCACACGAGCTCGTGAACTTTGCCTCCGGAGTATCAAGGATTCCTCAAGGACGTCCCGCCATTAAATCTTCGTTTATCTGGGAGAACGTAACGTGTGATAACCGATTTCCTCGGATTCGAAACACAGAGGGGTCATCTTTTTATCGTATACGTATCTGCTGCTGTATTTGGTTGTATCAGGAAAGGAATTGGACGAAGATACACCGAAAAATTTCCTTTCGTTTTGTTCTAGATCACGCGCGAGAAAAAAAATGGTGATTGGTTATTTCGAATGTTACATTTCGAAGATTCAATTGAGAGGGAATTTTGATTAATCAATGAATAGAAAGGGTTATTTAAATTATATAAATAAGTGATGAGGAAAGCCCAGTTTTGATATTTTTTTAAAAGTTTACTCATTCTGTAATATTTCATAGATCCTCCGCATCTAAAATTGATCTTCTTACCGGATGGCCGAATATAAACATAACCTCAATCTGAGATTCCATTTCCAAGAATTGATGAGAATAGAGATGAACGTTAAAGTGGATCGAAGATCTACGTTACATCTCGAGAGAAGAGCAAATTTTTAAACGATTCGATCATCGTTCTCCATGAAAATCGTATCCTATTCCAGTTTTTTTCATCAGTTATTCTTCATATAACTTCAACGACTGAAAAGAAAAAATATTCTTTGAAAATAGCTACTAACTATACAAACACATTCGTGGAATATAAACTTTAGATTGGAAAATCGAAGTAATTTTTCCTTCCACGCAATATATTTCGATTATCCTTCGAAACGTTGCTAATCCAACATAAATCAAAGATCGGGAATAGCGAAAGGGCGAAAAGGGGAGTCGAAAAGAGGGATTTCCGTCGAGCCTCTCGCATTTTCTTCACTCTCTGAGACGAAACGTTCGAATCCAAGAATTCCAACGTCACCGCGATCAAAGAACTCGGCTCTGATTTCCTTCTCCCCTCGATCGAGGCCGGAAGTCTCCTTTCTGACTTCTTGTTGTTGTCAATATCAACAGGGAACTGGGCCTTTCTGCCACGACGAGGGGCAACGAAAATCGGGGTCGCCGCAACAGGGAAAAGAAGAGGGAAGGGGGAAAAAGAAAATAATAATAACAGAGAAGGGGATCTCTGAAACTTCTGGAAATCCACGAGAAATCGACGAGGGTTGATCGACTTTCGATAATGGCCGATTGTTAATGGCGGTGCGTGGCTGGGTGGAGAACTGTAATACGAGGAGCGGATTTATGGCTCGGGTCGCGGCACCGAGTGAATTAACCGTTTGACAGGGCAATGAAACGAGTTCCAATTCCATTTCGTGAAATAACCGTGCACAACCTCTCGATGGGTGGGTGTGAGACGAAGGAACAAACGCTCCATCTTCGAAACGGAAATACATGTGTGAGTGTACGTGTGTGTGTATATAATGATGGATTTGTATACAGTTACTGTGCCTAATTTTATTGGCCAGGTGGTTGGGTTCTACGAAAAATTTGGCTTTTCGGTTCTTTGACCGATGAATTTCGATCGCGTGTTGCGCGACGTTGTGTGTATATAATTATTCGTTTATTCATTTCGAGTTGATGGATATTACGAGGATAGATTAAGTTTCTCCGAATCTATTTCATTCTATTTCTAGAAATAATCTATATCGATTTAAAAATGAGATACGAAGTAAAAGTGGTAAGAATGACTTAACGATTTAAAGTAATAAACATTCAAAGAGAAATAAATAAGAGATATTTCCAATAAGACACCCTATATACGCAAAATCGTATCAAACCTTTGTACCATAAAACTTTCCATCATCAACATTCCAATTCTTCTCGACGAAACAATCAAACGATCAAATTTACTTTCAAAACTTTCCTCGATTGCCGCTTAACGACGTTAATTAAAAGAACGGGCGAAATTAAATAATACGGGAAAAATACGTCGTCGATAATAGCCCCTAATAAGAGTAAATGAGAAGGGATCGGATCGGATCGTGCGTTATTAACGTACTAATGCATTAACGGAACGGAGAATAATGCAAGGGAACGATACGTATCGTTATAGAACGATTCATGGCCTCCCGACCACCGTGTAGAATTCAACGTATATCTCCCTGACTTCCCATGACATCTCCCATTGAACCACGGCCCTATCGTTGCTTGGCCATACCAATGGGATTACAATTTAACAGAGATACGCAGCCTGGCTAAATCCAATCCATTCGTGCCTCCTTCTGGTTTACGTTCGCACAGGTGTATCGTTCCATTGACCAACGAAAGATTCGAGAATAGTTGCGTTCGTGGCATTAATTGATGGTGGAAAAAGAAAAAAAAGATTTTTATCGTTTCCTTTTTTTCTTGAAAAATTTAATATCCAGTTAATTGTAGTGATAAACGTTTCGCTCGTCGAAGCGAAAAATTTGATATTTTATTTTTCATAGTTTTTGAACTTCAAAAACTAGCTTTTCGTGGGTACGGAAAAAAAATTGTCGAAAATTTTTCTCGCTATTACTTCTCGAATTAATAAAAATTTATTCGAGACTATACAGCAAATAAATTTCGTTTCGTTAAATCCTCTCGATCGGTGGGAGGGGGGAGAGAAATAATTATGGGACGAATGGATGATGGGTAAATATGAATGGGAATGTTTCGAGGTAATCCGAACGAATATCCATAGAAGGATTATTACACTTACGATCCTGGATTCGATGTCGAGACTTTGGTCTCGCCTTCTCTTGCCAAGGACGGGCGTGCACAGGAACATATCCATGGAGCTGCCATCCCTTCTCAGGCTATCCAAACTTCTGACAGCGACTATAGCGGCAGCCTCGTACAATTCCCTCAAGGCTTTCGGCCTGGTGTCCGATGTGAACAACGCCGTCGATGCTTTCTTAACCATGTGAAAATGTTCCGTCCTCGTCGCGAACGTGCAAATATCCGATTCCGCTGAAACGCATTACGTAATAGAACAGGTTAGTAAGATCGAATCGAAGATATTCTTTGTATTTATCGAATACTTTAAATATTTTCTTCTTTTCTTTTTTTTTTTTTTCAAGGTAACGATTCATAAGGCGAGATATAGATTGTTAAACTTTATAAGAATTAAATTCTTATTCAAGCTTCATTCCTTTTCGAATATTAAAACAATTCTTCGAATATAAAATGGATTTTTATCGAACTTAATGCGAAGATTATTGTTTTGATTATAATAGTAACGTTACGATATTTAATGCGTAATGGTAAATTGACAACCTTGACAACGTGTGTCGCATCAAATGTTGGCCCATAATTTTAACTCGTGTCAGCGTCGCGCGTAACAATTAAATCAAAAGAACATATCTCATGTTTCATTTCCTCCGGGGCCATGTTTAATTCGATGTTTCCGGCGCTCTCGGCCGTGACACACCTCAAACTAAGAGGCTAAAACTTTTAACAAACTGCGTCGAGAGAACTGTCGCCGAATTGAAACATAATACGGTGTAAGAACTCTGCTTTCACTTGCGTCCTATAAAATACTACTATAAGACGCGAGAGGCGAGATGTTTAAAGAAGAAATCTAGGACGAAGATTTTATAATGTCGTGCTTATATTACGAAAAGTATAAATGATGAATACTTTTTTTTTTTTTTAATCGTACACGAATGATCGTAATAATAATAATTCGATTCGTTTTTTATTTATTTATTTATTTTTTTAATATCAACTTTTAATTTCAATTACTTCGTTAATATGTATAATTATGTATAATTCTGAATTTAAAGATCGTTGATAATTTTCGATAGGGAAATTTTATATTAAATCTGAAATAAAGAGATAGAAGATTACGTAATTTTAATATTGAAAGGAACTTTATTTTATTAAAAAATTGTATCCATTTTCAAATCATTAATGAACAAATTTTGATCGCAAAATTCAGTGTTCATTGTTACAGAAAAATCGAAATTAGCTTGAACCTTATATTTTTACGATACCTTATATTTCTCAATTTTTCTAACAATTTCTCCAATAACATACACATTCGATTCTCAATCAAAACGGGAAATCTATGACCCGTTTACCAACAGCAATTAATTCCAACACCGATCAGAGAATAGTGGCACCAGACGTCCACCAATCTCGAATCTCACGGAAGTGAATCACTCTCTCGATTCAATCTCTTCCATTCTCGGCCGACCCGTTCGTGGGAGATTATTGTTATAAAACAATGCAAGAACACCGTAAACACACCGTTCTGTCCCGATTAGTCTCGTTATTCGTCTAATTGCTGACCTCTTTGCCCGACGAACGGATTCGTACGATCGTGACAATGCCGCGTGTTCCTCCGCCATGCCACCCTCCACCATTTTCGCCCATTAACGCGTGCCTCCTTCTTTACTCCTTCCCCTTGCTCTTGTTTTTTGTTTTTGCACAATAACGCCAAAGGGTCAATCGGCCATTGTTCGCTACGCCACGCGATAGGGTCGTGCCATTCTTTTCACGGAAATCTCTGCCATTCAATCTCTACCCCCTTCGCTTCGCAGATGAACCCGATGGCGAACGCGAAATTTTCGGCTCGAGCCTCGTTCCTGTCCACGAGGATGTGACGTATGATATATATATATATACGTTTTCACGATGCGAAAATCATCTTATTTTCACAACTAATGGATTTATAATGCGTTTGTATTATTTTCAAGGTAAATTCGATTCGAAAATATTTAAATTACGTTAATGATAAAATAAAGATCGTTTTGTGCCAAAAGAAATTGGTGTAATTGGTGTATAAAATAATTATATACGATCAAAGTGCATTTGTTGTTCAAAGGAGCAACGTTTCTTTTTTCTCTTAACGAAGATATTTTAGATATTTGTAACGACTAAATTTGTAACTTGTGATCTACATTCGCGAGAAATACGATTATTAATTCTCAAGAGGATTAATAAAAACCTCGATGTTAAAGAAGAAAGAAATCTCGATGTACCCGATAATTTTGACAATACCGATCGAATTATGTATCATCCTCTCCACGTAACAACGATCTCCTTTTTTTTTAAATCTCGTATTTCAACCGCGTATAACGAGACACATGTTGTGTTCGGGCATCGAATAAACGATACAGTTATCCGATATATTCGGCGCAAGCGCGATGCGCACAGGGCGTGCGATCGGAGCGGGCGAACAAGTTTTCATTAGCCATTATCGGGGGATCTTGAACAACCGGTAACTTGCTTCCGCCGCGTTTCAATGAATTAAGAGTTCCCTTAACGGTTTGTCACGGCAGAAGGTGGTAATATCGCGCCATTGCCCCGAGCGATTTGTGCCACGGTTGATAAACGCTAACGCGACGCGTGCACGTACGCCTCGAAGGGGGGAGAATACCGAGGAAGGGGGGGAGGGAGGGAAGGTCCACAACCGAACCAGTCCAGATTCGATACAATCAGCCGGTGAACAAGTATTTCCATAGGTAGCGGTCCATAAAACTTTGCAATATTTCCAATATCCCTTTTATATCCATCGCGGGATACTCCTCTTGAATTGGGTTAACGAAGATGTACGGGTTGAGAGAAAGTATTGACGAATAGAGATAACTTTCTGAGATTTTTTTTGAGAATTTTTGGAGAAGACGTCGATTAAATGTGCGATCGATTATAGAAAAAGTGCATCGTTGCTTTTATTATGATATTTATTAATTAAATTGGATTCTCCTCGAGTAATTTAATATTTTGGACGATGAACAAATCTCAACGCGTGGATTAAAATTGTTTTAAATATATATATATATTTATTGACTCACAATTTTCGAAATTCAACGATCGGAATTTTAATAAGATTTCATGGAATAAATCGAACATCTGGTTTCGATATAAGACGAATAAGAGAACTAACTTGATACATTGGATAAACCGTCTCGTTTAATCGTTCAACGATTCAATATTGGTGGTGTCAAAGGGGGTGTAGATGGAGACTAGACGCTCGCTAGGCCGGATAAATGTACGGGGAGCGGCATTAAATGCGTGACGGGTGTTGGGTAAAGAAGGGTTGGACGATGGTAGTTTTTACAGACGCGAGAAGAGAGCGAGTTACGAGTCAAGGTCGGCCGCACAGGTTGCTCGGTCATGAGGATAGAAATATGACTGGATATACGGGTAGATATATATCTGGCGGTGATAGTTGCGCCACGATTTCGCTGGTAGCCACGGGTTTACAGTTGAATAATAGGCGTCCAATTGAACGTTTGACGCAATCCTTCCTTCCAATCGAATCGATCCAATCATTCCGAACGGACGTACGATCGTACAGTGTGTAATCGAAATCGATATTGTTATTAAGAGAAAACGGAATGAAAAAAAAAAAAGATTTTGCCAAAGATTGTACGTATATCTCCTTTTACAATTGTCGTGGAGGTTTCGAACGAAGATTCAAGGAGGAGAGATCGAACGAAGAGAACGAATCGAATAATCTTATCCAATTGAGGATAAAAACACAAAAATTGGAAAAACTCCATGATAAAACTAATCGATGAAAATCCAAAATTGCAAGTCTAATTGAAATCTAATCCGATAACTAAATACGAAAAGATAAAAACATCAAAATTCCGTGGCAAGAGGAAATACGTACGTAAGAAAGGGAAAAAATGAGCAGAGAGAAAAAAGAAAAAGATGACCAAAATACTGAAGAAACGAAAGGCGGGGATCGAGGAGGGAGGAATAAGAAGGCGGAGGAGGAGTAGAAAGGCAGATTTCCGATGGTGAAGAGCCGGTCGGGCTGTGGGAGGTCCGATGAGGCTCGGCTATGCAAAGTGGCCCGAAGGGCCGCTCGCGCGGACCTTCACAGAGGCCGACAGCCGGTTCACCGGTTGCTTCGCCCGCCTTCAGCTCAAACCAAGATATCAGAAGGCGTGTAATTCGTGGTTGCTTGCCGGCTACGTGAACGTAGAAATTTACCAGTCCCAACCGGCATACCGTATCGATTCTCTTCCTCTCTCTCTTCCTCTCTCTCTCTCTCTCTCTCTCTCTCTCTCCTCTCCATCGATCTTACGAACCCGTCGAGTCGAACGATCTCAATCGGTGGAAACGTAGGTCGACTCGGTTGGCGTGGAACGAGTAGCTGGATCTGTGTCGTTGACGCGCGAAACGGAGAGATTTTATCGACGGTTTGTCGAGGATGGAAAAGCGGTCGATCGCGTTGACAGAAACGCGTGGACATTGAAACGATACGTGGTCGATCGAAACGGATGATAACGCGATGAACTTGCACGATTTTTGATTTAGATTATAGGTAGAACCTGGAAATGAGAAAATATGGATCAGATCGTGCGTTATATCGATTTAAATATGGCGTATATAAATTTTCTTGCGGACTGTTTACTTTACCAAAAAAGGAATGAACTAGGATCGAAAATATTTAACATCGAAGAAGGGAGGCATCAATCTCTCTTAATCCCTCTTAACAGAATTTTTTTCTTAATAAACGTAACATTTCCATTAGACGATCGTTAAAATTGTTGTTTAAAGGAGAGAAGGATCGAACGACTCGAGAAACAAAATTCTCCGAACGAATGAATATTCAGCTCCCTAACTTTATACATCACACCGCCTCCAATCTCTGCCCGATGCGAGCCAAACGACCGGTACACGCGCTCTCTTACGCTAAAACTCGAATATATTATACGAAAGTTGCGATCATGTGACGCGTTGATCGTCGCATAAAACCGATGTTTACACTGAGCAACGATGAAAGGAAGGTGATGCGCGACTGAGACCCCTCGCCGGCCACCTGTTATTTCAAGTCATAAATTCGTCAAAGGGATCGTTTAAAAGATTTCCACCGTGTCTCGTTAAAATGGCTCTATATAAAATGGCTCGAGCCATTCCGTGTAAACCCATTCCCGCGAACCCGTTCCTGCCTACGAAGTGGTCGACGAGTTGGTAAACGATCCGAAATTTGCATGTATTCCGCGGGTGGT